TTTCTCTCTCTCTCTCTCTCTCTCTCTCTCTCACACACACACACACACTATAAGGCTAAAAGCACTGCCTTCGTTCAGATCTAAAAGCCTGGAGCAGAATGCTTTGTACTTCCTCAGCACTTCCCTCAGTTCTATCACGGGTTCTTTCCTTCCCTGCCCAGCCCATCCTCTTATTTTAACTCCTTGCAGCCGCCCAGGGCTCCGTGGGAGAAATTCTATGAGCACTGGAGAGCAATGCAGTGCAGGCACATGTTATAGTGCTACAGGAAGTAAGAGGCTGGGCCGCAAAGCCAGAACTGCGGGACGCCAGTCCAGGGAGCCTCTCCCACGGCAAGATCTTGGTAGCCTCCTTCAGAACCGTGTCTCCGTTTCCATGTTTAGAACCCTTCAATGATGCTCAGATCCAACTGCTGCCTTTACAATGGCAATTTTTTTTCTATCAATTTCACTTTGAAAATTCCATTCAGACCCTGAAAATCTCTAAATTGGGGCCTTTCTAATAAAAAAGATTTGGTGCAATTATGTCACAGGCAATTGTGCTGACAAAGCAAAACCGGGATGTCTCTTGGTGGGGCCTTTGCCCTCAGTCTGACCAACCGGAGGAGAAAAGGGGCTTTGTTGGGAGCAGATGTGCGGTGGGCGGCCCGGGAAGCAGAGGATGAGGCAGGTGCCACTTAGACATTCACTTGACTGGCTCCAGCCACAAGCTCCCCTTCATTTGATATCCTGCTCCTGGCAGGAGGAGGCATCGCACAAAGAGGAAGCATGTTTATCCTGTTCAGATTACTGCTGCTGCTGGGCTCTGCACACTCGCTGCTTACTAAGCCAATGGCAGAGCTGGGCGCTGGGAAGTGAACCCTTGTATTTACCCAGGTAACCTGAGAGCCAGAGGGCCCCAAATCACCCTGGCTGCGCTGTGCAAGCTATGAGAGTTAATAACAGTGTGCTGACATTCCTTCAAAATCCCAGTGGAAGCATAAATTAAAAAAAAGGAAAGTCCCCTTTACCCACAAACCTGACATTTTTTATTCTGGAAGAATCTGTCCTGTTATAATGTGATGCCTGCATGAACAGGATTACTGACCCTTTAACATGTTCAATTAAAACCTGCTTTTTCATCCATGTATGGAATAGAAATGACTTCCATTAAACTTGTCCAATTATAGCTTTGGATTTGATATGCCCGCAAAATAAAAATCCCTTTTACAGAATATTGCCGGCAGTGACAGGCAGCTAAGCTGTCTTGGTTCTCAGGACCTGGAATCATCTAAGATCACTGTCTGCATTTCACATAAGACTCAGAAAGACCTGAGGAGCCGGTGCTGTGGTGTAGCAAGTAAAGCTGCTGCCTATAGTGCCGGCATCCCATATGGGTGCCGGTTCCAGTTCAGCTGCTCCACTTCCGATCCAGCTCTCTGCTATGGCCTGGGAAAGCAGTGGAAGATGGCCCAAGGCCTTGGGCCCCTGCACCTGTGTGGGAGACCTGGAGGAAGCTCCTGGCTTTGGATCAGCCCAGCTCCGACTGTTGTGGCCATTTGGGGAGTGAACCAGCAGATGGAAGATTCTCTCTTTGCCTCTGTGTCTCCGTAACATTTTCAAATAAAAAATAAATGGAGGGGGGGAGGAGGAGGAAGATGGGGAGGAGGAGGAGGAGGGAGAAAGTGGGGGAGGAGGAGGAGAAATATCTGAAACCCTAACAAGAAGGGGAATGAGATAAACATGTGGCTTGGCCTTGGGGACACTGGGCAGCGTCAGTGGTATCCATCTGCCAAATGGCAGGGACCCTCTAGGGGTATTCCCACCCAACAGCCCTGGCCCAAGTCTCTGCCCAAAACATCCCTCAGACTGGTGTCCTGTTTACTCACCAGGTTTCCCATGTGGGAAGACCTGACACAGACCACAGCTAGGCCTGCATGGCTTGACAGCCCAGATGAACTGCCTCTGGGCCATGAGGAGTCAGCTCTGGAAGCGTCCAGCCTTTCACACAGATGGCATCTGAATGCTACATCTGCAGGAAATGGCCTCTGCACACTCATCTAAGAATAGGGACCAGGGCCAGCATGTGGCACAGGGTTAGTTAAGCCTGCCTTGGCCTGCAACACCAGCTGCCCAGGTGAATGCCAGTTCAAATCCCGGCTATTCTACTTCTGATCCAGCTCCTTTCTCATGGTCTGGGAAGGCAGCAGAAGACTGCTCAAGTTCTTGGGCCCCTGATGTCCACATGAGAGATCTGGATGAATTCCAAGCTCCTGGCTTCCCATTTCTTTTGTTCTGTAGTCTTTAAGACTTTGAGCAGCAAAGCCTGAACTAGCAGTTCCTAACATACAAGTGAGTGCTGAGGCCACATCAGTGAGTAACCGGGGGAGGGCAGAGACCCTTGCGGCTTGCAGACCGTCCTGGGAGAGACAGGCTGAACCACGCCGGCAGGCAGGCAGGGGCACTCTCACCAGGCAGACGGCCCTTCTGACGTGCTGATGCGTACCCAGCTCAGTGTTTGAGGGAGGCAAAGAGACCTGCCCACCGCAAACTCCTCCAGTGGTGGGGCTGTGTCTGAAGACGGGCAGGAAAGGCCGGGGAATCCCAGAAGTGCATCTCATCTGTCCGCGGGACCCACTACCTTCCCCTCCGAACAGAAGCTTCCTGACGTGGGCACTCTCCGTGGGGATCCCCACCTCCTCCAGAATGCAGGCCTAGCAGCGGGGCCCTAGACTCTGTCCCGGAAGCGGGAAGAGGGAGCCCTCTGGAGATGAACCCCGCCGCCACGCAGCAGGGGGAGCAGTCGACGGGAGCCGCGTGCTCATGGCGCCACCGGCACTGAGACTGAATAGTCAGCGCCTTCAAGCGCTTCCCTGGGCGGGAGGAGCCGGGCGGTCAGAGGAGGGTCACCGCCTCCCAAGAGCTATTCTGGAAGGTGCTCTGCACTTCAGGGGCACAAAGTCCCCACCGCACTCTCCCTGCCTCCCCGTCACCAAAGGGCCGCGTGACACACCGTGCAGGGGAGCATGCACTTCTCGGAGTGTTCTACTGAGGGCCTCATTGTCTGCTTCTGCGTCCCATGTCCCATGGCAGCCATGTTCACGGTGAAATCGGGACTTCATCCAACAGTAACGTCTTTTCAGCTCTGTGAGCCACCAGGCTTTTGGACATTTGATCTTTGTGGGGCCACTATAAATTCACTTGAGCACCTGGCTGCGGATACTTTAGCCACGAAGAGAAACTCGCATTAGTGAGGAATCGCCGTGGAAATACGCAAGTGGCCTGGGTCATGAATAGATCAGAGAGTGAAGCTCCGTGTCACCACTGCCTCCTGTCTCAGGTTTTCCTGCTTGGACTCTGCAGTGCATAAAAATAGGCCACTCTGCTTGCAACCCTCCTGGCCTGCTGTTCACCGGCTGCGGATTACTGCGTCACATGGGCAGCCTATTTTTTTCTTTTTTTTTAAAGCAAAGCCACGCTGTCTGTGAGCGGAGGTCACCGTGAGACAAGGTTCCTGAAGCGTAAGTGTGGCCTTCCCAGGCTGGGGACACGACCTGCCAGAAGGTCACACTACTTTTGCTATAGCCTGTTTTAAAAAAGATTTATTTATTTATTTGAAACAGTTACACAAAGAGAGGAGAGGCAGAGAGAGAGAGAGAGAGAGAGAGAGAGAGAGAGAGAGAGAGGTCTTCTTTCCAATGATTCACTCCCCAATTGGCCACAACGGCTGGAAGTGTGCCAATCTGAAGCCAGGAGCTTCTTCCGGGTCTCCCACGTGAGTGCAGGGGCCCAAGGACTTGGGGCATCTTCCACTGCTTTCCCAGGCCATAGCAGAGAGCTGGATCGGAAGTGGAGCATCCAGGACTTGAACTGGCGCGCATATGAGATGCCGGCACTGCAGGCAGCGGCTTTACCCGCTACACCAGTGTTGGCCCCTATAACCTTAATTTTTATTTTATTGTTCCTAAAAATATTTACTTATTTATCTGAAAGGCAGTGTTATAGAGAAAGAGATCTTCCATCTGCTGGTTCACTCCCCAAATGGCTGCCATGGCCTAGGCTGGGCCAGGCCAAAGCCACAGGAGCTTCTTCCGGGTCTTCCACATGGACACAGGGGCCCAAGTGCTTGGGGCATTTTCCACTACTTTCCCAGGCCATAGCAGAGAGCTGGATTGGAAGAGGAGCAGCTGGGACTTGAACTGGTGCCCATATGGGATGCTGGCACTGCAGGCACTGGCTTTATCTGCCACACAATGTCTGCCCCTTGCCCTAATTCTTAATAAAATTATTTGAAAATTTATATTATTAAATTATTTGAGAAGCAGAGACACATACACAAAAAGAAAGAGATGGGGACACACACACACAGGGAAGGAGCGGGGGAGGGAAAGAGCTCCTATCTGCTGGTTTATTTCCCAAATGACTGGGATGGCTAGAGCTGGGCTGGACTGAATCAGGAGTCAGGAACTGAATCAACATCTCCGCAGGTGTGGCGATGAGCCACTCACTTGCTGCCTCCTAGGGTCTGCATTAGTAGGAAGCTGGAGTCAGGAGCCAGGGGCAGGCACTGAATCCAGGTGCTCCGTGTGGACGTGGGCATGCTCACTGCGTCTTAACCGCCAGGTCAAACACCCAGCCCTCCAGCCTGTCGATCAGCACCACCCCAGAGATCTCTGCACCGAGGAAATGTTCTGTGTCTGCAAAATCACTGCTGGTATATGTGCCTGCTTCAATTTAAATATGAATAAACAGGCCGGCGCCACGGCTCACTAGGCTAATCCTCCGCCTTGCGGCGCCAGCACACCAGGTTCTAGTCCCGGTCGGGGCGCCGGATTCTGTCCCGGTTGCCCCTCTTCCAGGCCAGCTCTCTGCTGTGGCCAGGGAGTGCAGTGGAGGATGGCCCAAGTGCTTGGGCCCTGCACCCCATGGGAGACCAGGATAAGTACCTGGCTCCTGCCATTGGATCAGCGCGCCGGCCGTGGCGGCCATTGGGGAGGGTGAACAAACGGCAAAGGAAGACCTTTCTCTTTGTCTCTCTCATTGTCCACTCTGCCTGTCAAAATAAATAAATAAATAAATAAGAATAAATGCCAAGTGAATTAAAAACCCAATACCTCAGAACATGTGTGGCCACTCAACATTTAAAACAGGAAATGAATACATCTTTTTTAAAGATTTATTTACTTTATTTAAAAGGCAGAGTTACAAAAAGGCAGAGGCAGAGAGAAACACCCCCCAGATGGCCACAATGGCTGGAGCTGGGCTGATCTGAAGCCAGGAGCCAGGAACTTCTTCCCAGTTTCCCACGTGAGTGCAGGGGCCCCAGGACTTGGGACATCTTCTCCTACTTTCACAGACTACGGCAGAGAGCTGGATTGGAAGTGGAGCAGCCAGGACTTGAACCAGTGCCCATATGGGATGCCGGCACTGCAGGCAGCAGCTTTACCTGGTAAGCCACAGTACTGGTCCCATGGATAAATCCTAAAATAATAAATAAATAAAGGGCCGGTGGTGGAGTGGGTAATACAGCCACTGTATTACCATTCTAAGCTGCTGCCTGGAATGCCATCTCATATGGGTACCAGTTCATGCCCTGGCTGCTCTACCTCTGATCCAGCTCCCTGTTAACGGCCTGGGAAAAGCAGCAGAAGATGGCCCAAGTGTGTGGGTCTCTGCCACCCACCTGGGAGACCTGGATGAAGCTCCTCGCTCCTGGCTTTGGCTTGGCCTAGCACTGGTCATTGTGGCCATCCAGGGAATGAACCAGGAGATGAGAAATCTCTCGCTCTCTGTCTCTCCTTCTCTCTAACTCAGACTTTCATATAAATAAATCAACACATCTTTGAAAAAAGTATTAAAAAGTTTAAAATCTTTCATTCAAGCGTTTAACTGTGGCTATTTGGGGAGTGAACATGCAGAAGGAAGATCTCTCTCTCCCTTTCTCTCTGTAACTCTGCTTTTCAAATAAGTAAATAAATCCTAAAAGAAAGTCATAACATCATTAAAACTATATTTAATTTCAATTAGCTTGTATTTAAGTTCAGTCACATGAAGCTAACATCTACCATTTGGACAGTGCAGCGTTAGATCTTAGATTTTCACACCACGTATTTATTTGCCTCTGTTAAGATTTATCTTGATTCTGACTTCCTTTTTTGTATGTGTTTTTTAACACATCATGCATGTGGTAGGTACAATTGAATCTCACAAAGTCTTAAAAGTAGGCAGATTATTTAAAGAGTATCTTTCACCCTCTGGTTCATTCCCCAAATAGCTGCAATGGCTGGAGCTGGGCCAGGTCAAAGCCAGGAGCCAGGAATGCCAGCCCAGTATCCCACATAAGTGCAGAGACCCAAGCACGCGGGTCGCCCTGCCTTCCTAGGTGTACGGCAGGGAGCTGGATCAGAAGTGGAGCAGCAGGGAGTTGAAGATGTCATATGGAATGCTGGTGCTGCAGAGCAGTGGCTTAACCTGCTGTGCCAGACGCCAGCTCCGACTCTGACTTCTAAAGTAAAATATGGCTACCACTATTCCTTAAAATAATTCTGACGCATGTAGTTACCACATCAAGCTCCAGTGTAATCAGAGGCCATGGAAAAGACCCTGATTTGGGGCCAGCATTGTGGTGTGGTGGTAAAGCTGCCACCTTCCACACCATCATCCCATGCGGGCATCAGTTTGTGTCCCGGCTGCTCCACTTCCAATCCAGTGCCCTGCTAATGGCCTGGGAAAACAGTGGTAGATGGCCCAAGTACTTGGGCCCCTGCCACCCACATGAAACTCTGGGCTCCTGCCTTTGGCCTGGCCCAGAGCTGGCCATTGTGGCCATCTGGGGAGTGAATTAGCAGATGAAAGATTCTCTCTCTCTCTCTCACTCTTTCAAAGCTCTCCACATCTCGTTTTTTAAGAGGTACACTTTCCAGGTCACTGAGAATGCCCCTCCCCTTTATGTAAAAAATACCCGGTTCCAAGGGGGAGCAGCTGTCTTCGGTAGCAATTTGCATTTGCTCTTCCTTGTAGAACGGGTAATGCTTCAGCCTGGTTTGGCAGAGAGCCCGCTAGTATCTTCCTTTCCCTTAAGTCACTCTATCAACAAGACGATCAATGGAACACAGGCCCACGTACCTCACAGGACAGTGGCCTAATGCCCACAGCTACCACCCATGCTGCTCCTCCTCCGAGGAGTCATTTCCCGGACTCACAGCTCACACAAAACCAGCTGCTCAGGGGCTGTCCGCTCCAAGTCCTGGAGGCACTGAACTTAATACACTTGGATTTAAAATGCAAACAGCACCACAGCATCACAGAACACAGTGGAGTGGGGCCGGTGCTGTGGTGTAGCACATAAAGCCGCCGCCACCTGTGGTGCCGGCATCCCGTATGGGCACAGGTTCAGTCCCAGCTGCTCCACTTCCCATCCAGCTCTGCTATGGCCTGGGAAAGCAGCAGATGGCCCAAGGCCTTGGGCCCCTGTACCTGCGTGGGAGACCCGGAAGAAGTTCCTGGCTTCGGATCGGCGCAGCGCCGGCCGCTGCGGCCAAATGGGGAGTGAACCACTGGATGGAAGGACCCCCCAACCCCGCCTCTCCTTTTCTCTCTGTGTAACTCTTCCAATAAGTAAATCTTTAAAACACAACACAACACAACACAACACAGTGGCACTTTCAAAGTGCTGAGAGGCGAGAGGCTCTCTACAATAAAACTTTATTTACTGCATTTATTTAAACTTTTTATTACAGATGATTACAGGCAGAGAGATCTGTGCACAGCATAGCAGTGCATCAGCCACGCTTGCAGGCAGTAACACCACCACCCTACCTCACTGTGGAGGTCTTGAGAATAGGACTGCTGTTGCAATCTCTTCTGCAAGTCTCCCTTGCCCCCCGCATCCCGAGTTACCTGATCTGAATCTCAGGTTTGTCCTCACTCATCTTCTCTGTTACCTCTCTTGCTAAAAAATATCACTTTAAAAGGAAGTAGTCTAGAGGCAGCACTGTGGCATGGTAGGCTAAGCCTCCACCTGTGGTGCCAGTATCCCAAATGGCACTGGTTCTTGTCCTGGCTGTTCCTCTTCCAATCCAACTCTCTGCTAATGGCCTGGGAAAGGAGTAGAAGATGGCCCACGTGCTTGGGCCCCTGCACCCACATGAGACACCTGGAAGAAGCTTCTGGCTCCTGGCTTCAGATCAGCTCAGCTCTGGCTACTGTGGCCATTTGGGGAGTGAATCAGCAGATGGAAGACCTCTCTCTCTGCTTCTCCCTCTAACTCTATCTCTCAAGTAAATAAATAAATCTTTAAAAAAAAAAAAGGAAGTATTCTATGGCCACAGTTAACATTAAACTAGGAAATACATAAATTTCTAAAGTTTTTTAGTAAGGTCAAAGAAAAACAAGGATGGGAAAAGGTGAAGACATCTTTGATAAGATAGAATTTGTTTCCCTAAAGGAATTTCTACATTTAGTTTCATTTGGCAGCTGGAATGGGTACTAAAATGTACATTTGTTTTGAAGTTCAGCAAGACTAGGTGGGATCTTTCATTCTTAGGAAAATTTTATGTTGAAGAATCTTAAGGGAAAACCTCAGTAGCAAGGCTATTGCCAGGCCCAGGCCCAGGCCCAGGCCCAAAGAGGAACCCACAGCACCAAAGATAAATGTGAAGAGCTGCTCTTTCTGTGAGCGTAGCGGAGCGCCTTGCCATCAGCTTTAGTTTTTAAACAGCCTTCCAGTCCGTTTCCTTTCACTCAGGGCGTGAAGAAAGCAGGCTGAGACCCCGGCTGGAGTGGCTTCTGAGCCTCAGCAAGATGTACTCTCTACCTGCTGGACTCCAGTCAAGGGCTGCAGGAAGCCCCAGGGGCGGCCTGGTGAGGACTTGGGCAAACAAAACAGCCAGCAACTTGTCTGTCGTAGGCTGATTCCCACTCCCTGAGTCGCTCTGCTTTCCTTGGGAGAGGACAGGAGGCTGGCAGAGGCCCAGGGCAAACTGCAGAGCAGCAGGTGGCTGGAGAGAGGCTCCCAGCAGAGGAAACGCTCTTCAGATGGGTGTACTGCCTCCTTCCCCCAAACAGCACCTGCAGCTAGGGCAGGTTCATTCACTAATACAGAAGGGGCCTTCTCACTACACACATGGACCCTGGGCTCCTGCAGGCCAGCAGAGGGGAGGGTTCACAGCCATCAGGAACAGCTGGGCAGACGGGCACTCTGAACCAGCCTGTGGCATGTGGCAGGGGAGGAGAGAGGCTGGACATTGCCAAACCCACACACTCAGTACTGCAAGACAGGGATTTGCTCTGCATTTGTGGGGGTCCAGACAGGAGCCTGGAGCTCACAGCAGAGTGGCTTGAAACAAATCACCTCAATTCTGATTCCGTGTCTGCCACTCTCTGTGTGGACCTGGTCAACTTTCTGACCCTTTCTGTGTGCTTTCCTACACGAGGACGCTACATGGCGACCACGGGGTTACTCTGAGACTGAAATAAGATAATGCACATACGGCACCTTGCAGTCTTTCTGCACAGTAAGTATTCGATGTCTGTTAGACAAACAGAACTGAGGAGAGAAAATACAAGTTCTCTAACAAACAAAAATGTTGATGACCTATCTTAAACAGCTCCCTAAATGTGGTGTGCCTATCACCTTTAATACAAAAAAACAAAACTAAAAAAGTCAAAAAGGAAAAACTAAAAATTCAAAGTACAAGAACCAAGGTTCCATAGAACTCCACCTAAACAGAACGGACAGCCGCAGTTTCCTGGTCTGCAGAGACACACCAGTCCCAGGGTCAACGTCTTTTTCATGACCCAGTCACTGCCCAGTACTCAGAGCAATTCCTGCCCACCTCTGGGCACTGAGACACTGAGCACTACCAGACTGCCAGGCCCAGGGTAGCCAAGGGGAGAGGAGAGGAATCACATCAGCGCATCTTAGAACTGGTCAGCAGTTCCAGTAAAAGGCTTGGTAGGATTTAAAAAAAAAAAAAAAAAAACCAAAGGTCACAATAGGGCTTTATTCTTCCTAATGAACTTTAACAATTAGTGTAAAGTTCACTCTTTCAAAACAGTTTCTGGGGGCCGGCGCTATAGCATAATGGGTAAAGTCGCCGCCTGCAGTGCTGGCATCCCATCTGGGCGCTGGTTCAAGTCCCAGCTGCTCCACTTCCAATCCAGCTCTCTGCTGTGGCCCTGGGAAAGCAGTGGAAGATGGTCCAGGTCCTTGAGCCCCTGCATCTGCGTGGGAGACCTGGAGGAAGCTCCTGACTCCTGGTTTTGGATCCGCGCAGCTCTGGCTGTTGCGGCCATCTGGGAAGTAAACCAGTGGATGGAAGACCTCTCCTCTGCCTTTCAAATAAACAAATAAAGTTAAAAAAAAAAGTTTCTGGAAATTCGAATGATTCACCCGCCCCCAAATTTACACATGGGCCCTTTATTAACGGCTAATAACACTAACAGCACAAGAAAACATTCTAGTACAAACGACAGACAAGACAGGTCAATGGAATCAGAAGTGACTTCACACAAGAACTTCCATTCAGCAAATGATAATGATGATATTTCAAATCAGTACAGAAAGAATGGATTCCAACCTTTTTAATGGAATAAATGGTGCTGGAATAATTGGACTAATATGGAATACTACAGAGGTGAAAAATAATTTAGATTCTTACCTAACGCCATATACCACAACAAAATCAGATATTTTTATATATTTTTATAAAACTGAGGCCCTATTAGGATTAGAAGATAACATATTTAGATATTTATCTAATTTTGAAGGTAAGAAGACCTATTAACAAAAATAAAAGATAAATTAGGAAAATAAAAAGTAACAGAATAAAATAAAAATAAATGGGGGATCACTTCTTGGCCTTTTGGCTAAGATCAAGTGTAGTAAAATAAATGAGGAAAAACCTATTTCCAACATGCACACAACGGAAAGGCTATGTCCCTACAGATGAAGACCTTTTCCAAATAATAAGAGCTAAATTATACATGAAATTTGTTCACCTTATATCAATAAAAAACTATTTAAGAAAATAAGAGCAAGATTAAAAATCCAAAAGAAAATGGGCAAAGAGCATGAGTGGTGGGTAGTGGTGTAGTAACGGCGCCCGTGATGCCGGCTGGCATCCCATATGAGTGCAAATTCCTGCCCCTTCGGCTTCTCTGCTTCTCTTCAGGTCCAGCTCTCTGCCATGGCCTGGGAAAGCAGCGGAAGATGGCCCAAGTGCTTGGGCTCCTGCAACCCTGTGGAAGACCCAGAGGAAGCTCCTGGCTTCAATCTGGTCCAGCTCTGACTGTCGCGGCCATTTAGGGAATCAAATAGCAGATGGAAGATCTCTCTTGTCTCCCTCCCTTCCCTGCTCCCTCTGTCTCTGTAACTCTTACTTTCAAATAAAATAAATAAGTATTTAAGAAAAAAAAGAAGAAGAGGTAGAGAAAAGGTATGTAGACTTGGCTCCTTGAGGCTGGCTGGCAGTGGGTGGTGCTGGTTAGGTGAGAGGTGAAAGGTACTCAGCGGTGGCTAGCGCTGTGGTGCAGTGGGTTAAAGCCTCAGCCTGCAGTGCCGCCATCCCATATGGGTGCTGGTTTGAGTCCTGGCTGCTCCACCTCCAATCCAGCTCTCTGCTATGGCCTGGGAAAGCAGTAGAAGACGGCTCAAGTCCTAGCGCCCCTGCACCCGTGTGGGAGACCCAGAAGCAGCTCCCGGTTCCTGGGTTCAGATCAGTTCACCTCTGGCTGTTGCGGTCATCTTGGGAGCGAACCAGCAGATGGAAGACCTCTCTCCCTGGCTCTACTTCTCTCTGTAACTCTGTCTTTTAAATAAATAAAATAATTCTTAATAATAATAATAAAAAAAGGTACTCAACGAAGACCCCTCCTGCCCAGGCCAAGTCCCAGAGCACAGGGGTCCTAGGCTGGCAGAGTGAAAGGGAATGGACAGGCTAATCTATTACTAGGGTGTATTGGAGGGGGAAGTATGGAGGGAACAGTGTTAAAAAAAAAAAAAAAAAGTAAAAGGAACTCATCTAGTGGCTTTTCCCAGCCTTAGGCAATTCTATCTACATCTCAATGGAAAGGCACCTATGAAAAATTTTACATTGAATCAAATCTTTTTTTAAAAAGATTTATTTATTTATTTATTTGAAAGTCGGAGTTACACAGAGAGAAGGAGAGGCAGAGAGAGATAGAGAGAGGTCTTCCATCCACTGGTTCCCTCCCCAGATGGCCGCAACAGTCAGAGTTGTCCCGATCCGAAGCCAGGAGCCAGGAGCTTCTTCTGAGTCTCCCACGCAGATGCAGGGGTCCAAGGACTTGGGCCATCTTCTACTGCTTTGCCAGGCCATAGCAGAGAGCTGGATTGGAAGTGGAGCAGCCGGAACGCGAACCGGCACCCATATGGGATGGCGGCACTGCAGGAAGTGGCTTACCCGCTACGCCACAGCACCAGCCCCTGAACCAAATCTTGATACTCCATCCTGAGAGACCACTCACTCACTTACCTCTACTGAAAAAGAGAACATAAATGCAATAAAATCATGCCAATGCTTGAACAGCTCCTGGAATTGGGTAGGTGCACAGGTGCAGGGTAATGTCTTTGTCAGGTCTGCCTTGGTGGCCTGGAATTCAAACCTTTGCCAAGGTCATTAACTTGGGAAACACCATCCTGTAGGGTATTGCTTCATATCCTTGCCCACCCCAGCCACCTCCCACAGGTTACTGTCCTCCATCCCACTAACTGTTTCTACTTCAGGTCTGAACAATATCCATAGTGCTCTTAAAAGAGTCGACTGCTAGTTAGATTTTTATTTGAACCATATTCTGGGACCTGGGATGCAGTTTTCCCCCAATGTCTGTTTCCAAGTTATTTCTATGCCCACAAATAGTACCTTGTTCTGCTATTGTCTGGTTCTTCCTGATAAAATACACTTGGTCTACTGGCAGATATCATAAGCTTGTCATTACAGAAGTGACAAACACTGGCAACAGGACACAATCTGAAAAAATGATGAAAAGAAAACCCTAAAAAGTCTAGCCAGATAAACAAATTAGCTGGTTAAGTGGGAAAAAATCTGGTTCCAGTCCCAGAGTAAATCCTACAGCGCTCTAGGTAAATATGTTCGAAGACAAAGACTATCAGAATTATTTGGACCAGATCAATATTGTATTCATCCTCTGGATTCCCAAAGGCAGGTAAATGTTGGCCCTTGTCTGAACTTACTGAGATGAGGCACAACTCACCCATCTGATGACAGAGGAGTGCTGAGAAAGGGTCAGTCTACCTCTCCAGGCCTGAGTTCAGAGAGTACCAGCAGTCCCAGAGGGGGGATGGCCTGCTATGGGGCAGCTACTGGCTTTGAGGACGTAGAGCAACATTTCCTCTCACCACAACTGCAGCCAACAACATGCAATCAGTATATCAACTGATTCACACAAGCCAAGGCTAGCTTAAAAGAGGCAGCTCCCAGTAATCAACAGTAGCGGGTGTGTGATTCAACTTGAGCATATGGCTGAATGGTCAGTGTACTTGGCCAGAGACGCAGAGGGTCTTTAGACGTTCCTACCAATTCATCCATCTGGAAGCAAGGCTGGGAAGGAGCCAGAGCTGTAAAGCAATCTGTTCTCTCACAGACAGGTCGAATCTAGTAGAATGTGGATGACAGTCTCCTACCAAATCCACACAGGGGAGTATTTTTAGCAGATTCACAGTGAGCAACAGCAACTGACCTTCAGAAGAATGCTGTGTAGCCAGATACCTTACCTTTCTTTCAGGGTAGACCAGGACTCAGATAAGGAACAGGAAAAGGTAGGAAAACAGGGGTAGGGATTCTAACTAGAGAGGTTTTCCTTAATTCCATCTATGGTCCATTTCTTTTTCTTTTTTAAAGATATATTTATTTATTTGAAAGGCAGAGTTACAGAGAGGCAGAGGTAGAGATTGAGATAGAAAGTCCTCCATCCACTGGTTCACTTTCTAAATGGCCACAATGGGCAAGCTGGGTCTATCCAAAGCCAGCAGCCACATGGGTCTTCCACATGGGTGCAGAGGCCCAAGGACTCAAGGCATCCTCTACTGCTTTCCCAGGCAATAGCAGAGAGCTGGATCGGAAGTGGAGCAGCCAGGACTCAAACCAGCGCCCTTGTGGGATGCCAGCACAGCAGGTGGTGGCCTTACCTACTACATCAAAGCACTGGCTCCCCTGTGGTCCATTTCATCCCAAACATACATGGCTATAAGATGATCTATTATCCCGCAGCATTCTGGCTAAGATCAACTCTGTCTCTGCTTAGGGTAGTTCATGAAAGCCCCAGCCCTATAGAAAAATCAGGCTGTAGTTTTAGAACTGGATTTTTATTTGGTGTAACAAAATTCTCAGAAGCTACAATGGTTCTTTGCATATTCTAAATATTATTCTTCTCTGGGGAAACAGAATTACTTTCTTTCCTCCTATCTTCCGAAGGGAGATGCACACAGCATTGTGTCTTTCTTCAAAGACTTCAACTCTCCAGGCATTCAGTCCTCAGGGACCATCTTAAAAAAGTGCCAGGAGGGGCTGGCCCTGTGGCGCAGCATGTTAAGCTGCAGCCTACAGTGCTGGCATCCCCTATGGGCAACGTTCATGTCCCAGACGCTCCACTTCTGATCCAGCCTCCTGTTAATGCGCCTGGGAAAGCAGCAGCAGATGGCCCAAGTGGGAGACCCAGAAGAGGCTCCAGGTTCCTGGCTTCGGTCTGGCCCAGCCCTGGCCAATGTGGCCATTTGGGGAGTGACCCAGCAGAAGGAAGGTCTCTCTATCTCTTCTGTCTCTGTAACTCTACTTTTCAAAAAAAAAAGTGCCAGGAACTTCTCTCTCAGCCACTAACGCTGCCACTAAAGGAATTTCTGTCCAAATAAAAAGTATGATATGTATCTATCTTCATTCCAGACTTTAATGCAACAATTCACCCCAAACCATAGAATACTTAATTCGCCCTACTTCATTATATATTTTCATGCAGTTTTAAGAAACAATCACAGAGGGTCTCCCACGAACAGGGCTGGCTGCCTCCTCTTTGGCCCAGCCTTCTGAGGCACCTTCTCTTGTGGCACGTGGATCCAAACAGCTGGGCTGGTATTGTAAATTTTTGTCACATTTTTATGAACCCTATCCCTTTTGCTTTTTCAGGTTATTCACCAATACACAGGAAGTCAAACAGCTAGGAAGGAAGGGCAGGGTGGTGGCAGGTTACTGGCTAAATCCAGAGGTCTGGGGCCGGTGCTATCGTGTACTGGGTAAAGACACCACCTGCAATGCTGGCATCCTATATGGGCACTGGTTCAAGTCCCGGCTGCTCCACTTCTGATCCAGCTCTTTGCTATGGTCTGGGAAAGCAGGAGAAGATGGCACAAGTTCTTGGGTACCTGCACCCACGTGGGAGACCCAGAGGAGGCTCCCGGCTTCAGATCGGCATAGCTCTGGCCACTGTGACCATCTGGGGAGTGAACCAGTGGATGTCTTCCAAATAAATAAAATAAAGAAATCTTAAAAAAATAGTAATAATCCAGAGGTCCCTGGTGAGGCCACGCACAACAGGCAGCAGGATCCTGAGGACTGAGCAGAAGAGTGCCGCGTCAGCCTGCTGCCTGCCCCGTGAGCACGCAGGATGGCGGCGGCACCTTTCCTGAAGTAGTCAGGACACTCCAGTTCTCACACCGCACCCCGCCACACAGGGACGGTCACTCCTTACCCTACCCCACAGGACAGGAAAGGACAAATGTGTCCTGCAGCAAACTTTAAAGTCCCTCACAGCAAAATAAATGGCTAAATCAGCAGCCACGGCCCTAAGTGTCCTCCAAGTGGAAGGAATCAGAGGCTCCTAGAATTTTCCTAGTCATATAATGCCTTCCAGCGAGGAAAGACGCAAACCAAAGCTCAATCTCTTCCTGAAGGGTTTGTTGCCAGCCATGTCAGGGAGGTTTAAGTGGGAACAGGGAAGAAATCCAATAAAATATTTATGCCTTCTTACCATTAGCATCTTGGACTCCAGTAAGTGCTCCGACGGCTGCTGCGGTTTCCCCAGACAGGACGATCTGTCCCCCGCCTTGTAAGGTGGCTTCAGCCAGGGTGGCGACAGCATGGGCGGCAGCTTCGCTGTGGGCACAGGAACAGGAGGGAGATGTGTAAGACGAATAAAGGCACAGCACGGCAGCAAGACAAAGCAGCCTTCCTGGGACCTGCTTACTCACTCCGGGGTTGCAAATCTACCAGCAACTACGGCACACACCTGTGCCACTGGCAGGAGCCAGGAGTAAGTTTAAAATTTTCCTAAGTAACCAGGGAAATCTCAAGCCAGACATCTTTACAAAGCTAACGTGAGATTTTTTTAAACCTGGCAATGACTGCTTGAGACTAGCAGATGTTCACTATCAGTCTCTTCTTATCAATATCACTCGAGTGTTTGCAAGCCACTGTGGAGTCCTGACCTATGGCATTCACAACGCAAAAGCCATTTGGATGTCAATCAAAAGGTTTTCTCTTTTTTCCCCTCCCTTTCTGCGGTAACACAGGCAGACCATCTGAGACCATCTTTTTAAGCCAAGCAGTCAGCAACCTGGACTTGCTATTCAATTATTATTAAATAGTAACAATTCGGTTAAATCCATGCTTTTCATAAATGAAACAGTGGTAGATTAATATCCTGAAAAGCACAGTTCCTCCCTTTGCCTCACTGTGTACGCAGGCAGAGCACAAATGAAGATTTCAAATTTAAAATGATCACTATGCACCCAAACTTCTTGCTTTTATAAGTGCAATGAAATAATAAACATCCTTCCCCACAAAGCAAATACTCTGAGGACTGGAAAGACTTGCACAGTGACCACTCTGCTAGTAACTCGTGTCCCCCTCTCTCTTTTGCTTGCCCTATGCTTTTACTCTGTGCATAAATCCCCTTTCTCTTGATTCCACAGTAGTACAAACTGCAGGATATTTCATTATTTTATGTGCCAGTAGGAAGAAAAATTTCTAAAAATTTTAATTGTAAAACTTATCATCCAAATTTCAGAGACATGCGAATGGGAAAAAGCAGATAAATTCAGTATCCCTCCTAGGAAGGTATCAGGTGTCAGTCTGCAGTATCTGAGAAAACACCACAAGTGGGCATGAAGGGGGTGGCTCCATTTGGTTTTGCAGAGGTGGGCAGAGTCCTGGGTTTAACATCCCCCAAAACCCCAGGGGACTGAGCTTGGCTCTGGAGCTGCAGGTTTTGCTGTCACTATGGCAGTCATCTTGCAGCCACAAGGGGATGTGAGGGCGGAGAAGGGATGGGGTACACAGGTCAGGACTGTGGGCAATGGTGTCTCTTTCGCCTAAAAAAGCCAGCAGACAAGTAAAACAACAGGCAGAATCATTCCCCTGGGGGAGAGTTCCTGGGCACTACAAGGTCTCTAGGAAGCAGTACAAGAAACCCAACGAACACTTCATTAAATCAAAAATTTTCCCCCTTACTAACTTGCCTTGTTTTTGAAATGTTCATAGCTCCATGTTTAAAAAGTTATTTTTTCTGACAATAAAGAAATACAATGTAGAAAACAGGGAAAATTTATTAAGTATAGAAGTATTTTAAATCTCACAGAGATAATTATTTCTTTCTAATCTTAAATACAACTTTAAACAGATAATCAGGATCCTATTGTATGTAAAGTTTTTCTTAATAATCTTTGTGTTGTGCGAGAATACACAGAATCCACCGTCAGTGGCATCCGGCACATCCACGCGGGCATGTAACCGTCACCAGCATCGCCCCCATCGCCCTCTCTGGGCTGTGAAACTGGAGCTGTGCCCACCCAGCAGCTCTCCACTCCTGTGCTCGTGCCTGGCAGTCACCACTCTGCCTTTGCGTCTGGGTGACACGTAAGTGAATCGTGCAATCTTTGTCTTCTTGTGACTGGTTTCACCCAGCAGAATGCCTTCACGGTTCATGCACGCTGCAACCCGTGTCAAGCTTCCTTTCCTTTTCAAGGCTGAGTATCTCCCTGTAGGGATGTGCCACGTTTCCATATACACTCCTCTGTCTGTCGATCATCATTTGATTGCTTCCACATTTTAGCTGTTGTGAATAAATCCCTCTTTTGGCTGCTGTGAATAAATTTCTCTTGGAGACCCTGCTTTCAGTTCTCTTGGGTACATATCCAGAAGCGGAACTGCTGCACCATGTGGTAGTTCTACTTTTCATTACTTTAAAGAACCATCAAACTGCTTCCCACAGGAGTCATACCAGTTTACAGTGTCACCAACATACACACAACCTCTCATACACCCTCGCCAACACTTGTTATTTCTGTTTTTGGACAGTAGTCATCCTAATGAATGCGAGGTGGTATTTCAAAGCTTTGATTTGCATTTCTCTAATGACTAGCAATATGGAGCATCTTTTCAAGTGCTTCTTGGCCATTTGTATATTTTCTCTGGAGAAATATCTAGGGAAGTACTTTGCCCATTTTTTTAATTGGGCTGCATTTTTGTTGTTGAAGTTTAGGAGGTCTTAAACATTCTGGCTATCAATCTCTTCAGATATACACTCTGCAAATATTTCTCCCATTCGAGGGAGATATTTCCTTTTTCACTCTGCTGAGTCTTTTGATCTACACACCTAAAAAATATTCATGAAGTCCAATTTGTCTTTTTTCTTTTGTTACCATGTGCTTTGTGCTATATCTGAGAAACCAGTGGCAAGCCCAATGCCATGAAGTTTCTGCCCTGTGTGTTCTTCTAAGAGCTGTACACTGCTAGGTCTCACCTTCTGGGCAGGCCTTTGGCCGAGCAGTTAAGATGCTGGTCAAGTCTTCACCCTGCACTGAAGTACCTGGTTTCAATTCCTGGCTCTAGCTCCCAATTCCAGCTTCCCATCATCAATGCAGAGCGTGGGAAGCAGCAGGTGATGGCTCAAGCAACAGTCCCTGTCATACGTGTGATACACGGATTGAGTTCCTGGTTCCCAGATCTGGCCTAGCCTCACCACTAGCCTTTGTGGGATCGGGGGAGTGAACCAGCAGATGGGAGCTCTCTGTCTTCCTGTCTCTCAAATAAACAACAACCTTGTCAAAAACAATTTGACCATATACAAGTATGGCAAGGTTTCTCTCCGCATTTCCTGTTCTATCCCACTGGTCATTGTGTCTGTTTTGATTAGCTGTCCAGTGCATTCTGAAATGAGACGTGTCAGCCCTCCAGCTCTGTCCTTCACTTGCAAGACTGTTTTGGCTATTCAGGGCTCCTTGAGATTCCATATGGAATCTAGGGTTTCCTTCCTTCCTTCCTTCCTTCCTTCCTTCCTTCCTTCCTTCCTTCCTTCCTTCCTTCCTTCCTTCCTTCCTTCCTTCTTTCTTTTACAGGCAGAGTGGACAGGGAGAGAGAGAGAGAGACAGAGAGAAAGATCTTCCTTTTGCCGTTGGTTCACCCTCCAATGGCCGTCGCGGCCAGCACACCGCGCTGATCTGAAGCCAGGAGCCAGGTGCTTCTCCTGGTCTCCCATGGGGTGCAGGGCCATCCTCCACTGCACTCCCGGGCCACAGCAGGAGCTGGCCTGGAAGAGGGGCAACTGGGACAGAATCCGGCGCCCCGACGGGGACTAGAACCCGGTGTGCCGCGCCGCTAGGCGGAGGATTAGCCTAGTGAGCCGCGGCGCCGGCCTGCTTTTCTATTTCTATAAAATACAACATTGGGATTCTGATAGGAATTACATTGAATTAGTAGACTGCTTTGGGTGGTAGACATGTTAACAATCTTTATTGAGATTTACATTTTTTTTTTAAAGGCAGAATAACAGAGAAAGGGAGATACCAGAAGACAAAGATCTTCCATCTGCTGCTTCACTTCCCAAATGGCCATAACACCCAGGGTTGGGCCAGGCCAAAGCCAGGAGCCAGGAACTTCATCCTGGTTTCTCACATGAGTGGCAAGAGTCCAAGTACTTCTGCCATCATTTGCTACCTTCCCAGGTCCATAAGCAGGGAGCTGGATTGGAAGAGAAACTGAACCAGTACTCATATAGGCCAAAAGCCGAGCAGAATCATAGTTTACATGCAGCCTGGATAAAAGCTATGCCCATTGCTGCTGACACATTCCTTGGTGATCTGATACCTCAGATCTTACTCTACATTTGTACTGTGAACTTGAAGCCAAAGGGGATCCTGCATTTGGAATCACTAGAAGGCTTTTTCCTTACTTTTTTTAATGATAAAGCTTATTTTTAAAGTACTTCTTGCTGGCGCTGCAGCTCAGTTGGCTAATCCTCCGCCTGCGGTGCCGGATTCTGTCCCAGTCGCTCCTCTTCCAGTCCAGCTCTCTGCTGTGGCCTGGGAGTGCAGTGGAGGATGGCCCAAGTACTTGGGCCCTGCACCCACATGGGAGACCAGAAGAAGCACCTGGCCCCTGGCTTCAGATCGGCGCAGCATGCCGGCCATGGCGGCCATTTTGGGGGTGAATCAATGGAAAAGGAAGACCTTTGTCTCTCTCTGTCTAACTCTGCCTGTCCAAAAAAAAAAAAAAAAAAAGTACTTCTTAAGTATTCACTAGAGACAGTGCAATAGATTTTTTTTAAAAGGAATTTGTATCAACAAATAATATCATCAGCCAATTGTATAGCATCCAGCCATCACTGATTAATGATAAAAAAAAAAAAAAAAAACTTACACTCTCACCTGAGACTTCATGGAAAGCAGAAAACATGTTCTCTGAGAAACACTGCAGCTGCGTGACATCCGTGTGAGAATGCTCATTTGGAAAGAGGACCTTTGTTGATGGGTTACCTCAGGGACTGCTCTCCCCTATCATCTCATCTCAGTCTACAATGAGCTCATCTCCGTGGCCATTAAAAACGATGTCCTGCCATTCTCGAACATCCTGGACACGTACTTACAGTGAGAATTTCATCCCTGAAATAACAGCACCTGCCCCTGCTCACACCCATTTTAGGCAGAAGCTCTAAATGATCACGTCTGATGTCGTGTTCTGTGATCAGCACTTAAGGAACACGGTATGCTAGAAGGAAAGCTGGGAACCAGCAACCTCACACAAGGTGGAATGCCGGGACTGAGGGCCCAACAGGGCGACAGGCCGCCAGGTCAGCACGGGCCAGCAGAAGCAACTATGGGCAGGTACTTTATTTGGGGAATAAAGATAATAAAGCCTTCTTGCAGCCATTAGGACTATTATTTCCAAAGCAATTCTAACCATTTATGCTGGATTTCATGGGAAGTGACCAAACTAAACTGTCAAAAAAAAAAAAAATTCCCTTTAGTTAAAAAGTTGAAGAGGGGTTAAAGTGTTTTGAGTTACCAAGTCATTTCTAAACCAGAGCTACAGATGAGAGGTTTCTTTCAACTCAGGGGAAAAGCAGCTGTGCGGCCCCTGCCCACTGCTTCCAGAGAGGATCTCGGGTCTCAGTTGTCCACCTCATGTTATTGAACAAATACCAATCCATTTAATATTGTGATATTAAAAAGAGTGAGTGAATTTTTCTTTAAAATTATGGTCCACTTTTTATTTAAATGTTTTTAAAAAAGATTTATGTATTTATTTGAAAGGCATAATGAGAGAGAGAAAGAAGATCTTCCATCTGCTGGTTTACTCCCCAAATGTCCCCAACAGCCAGAGCTGAGCCAGGCCACAATCAGGAGGCTGGAACTCCATCTGGTCTCCCACATTTATGGCAAGGGCCCAAGCATTAGGGCCATCTTCTGCTGTTTCCCTGGCACATTAGCATGGAGCTGGATTGGAAGTGGAGCAGTCAGAGCGCATATGAGATGAAGGTGTTGCAGACAGTGGCTTAACTCACTGTGACACAATGCTGGCCCCTAGTTCACTTACATGGGATTTAGACATCGCAAGTGGCACCTTAACCACTGAACCACATGGCTGCCCTCTCACCCCCTCCCCCATTTCTTCTTTTAAAGCAGACATCTCCACAGCAAAAGAATCCCAAATTCCAAACTCCTCGAGAAGAGGAACTGGTCTAAGTATCTGTTTTCCTGTGGGCCTGGGTCACAGCACTGTACACAGTAGAAACGTGATAAACACTTGGTGTCAACAACACAGTATAAGTTAAGTTTCAACTAGGGTAAACGTAGATTCAGTTTACACATCCGTATCACGTATCTGTACGTGTGATGGAGGAGCTGTCTGACTCTGGAGGAAGACATGGTCGAGAGGAGCTCTAAGTCTATTGCAACAAATAACGAGGGCACTGCTTTCCTCTGCGGTTGCTCAGGCTGAACAGCTTGATTTTTTTTTTTTTTTTAAACATATGATGTCTTGTTCTTCACTTGTTAACTTTGACTCAGTCTCTGCCTCTTTCTTAAAAGAGCCAATCTTAGCACTAGGTTTGGCCAGTGGTTACGCTGTCAGTTGGGACACCTCACCCCCACTGGAGTGCTTGGGTTCAAGCCCCCATCCTATTCCTGATTTTAACTTTCTGCTAATGTGCACCCTGGGAGGCAGCAGGTGGTGGCTCAAGTATGTGGGTCCCTGGCACCCATGTGGGAGACCTGGATTGAGGTTTTGTCTCCTGACTTTTGCCCTGAGGCTACTGTTAGCCTTTGGGGAGTGAAACAGTGGATGGAAACTTCCTTTATCTGTCTCTCTCTTCTTTGTCTCTTTCATGGATAAATAAATAAATATAAAGTGCTGGTTTATTCTTTACTCTGAAAATTAAAATTAACATAGTTTTTCATCATAATTTCTTCATCCCTGCTTTGGTTAGGAAGCCAGGGTGGGCTGAAGGCTGAGGGGCCCCAGCCCTTGTTCTGACTTGCTACACAAAACTCTTCTAACAGCATGGCTGAAAAACAGGTCTGTCCTGCACCTGTCCTGATCCCCTTCCCCTGTAGAGATGAAGGGAGCCCGGCCTTCTTACTCCGCCGCCTGCTACTACCTGCAGCTGGTCTCCCCCTTCCCGCTCTGCACCCACATCTGCTGTTTACAGCAGCAGAGGTGCAGGTGTACTAGAGACCATGCTTGTTCCATCTGCACCTGCAAACAAGACAGGCTAGAAGGGGGCAGATTATGAAATCACTTTGTTACCATAGGAACAAAGACCGGGTTTCACTAAGATGACTTCCAACAACACACTCTGTGGACAGGCTGCAGTGCCAGGGATGAAGGATTCCAACGTGCCTCATCCGGAGAAGAAACGCCGAAGGCTTGTGTCTTAATCCCTAAGACATCGGAGGGTGCGTTACCTCTCTTGGACTGATGTTCTCCCCAGAGCTTGCTGTGGCCTGATCCCTGCTGCCAGGTTTGGTGTCTTCACCCTCACAGAAGATGCACCCTCCCCACCTCAACTCACTGGGGCATTGAACTATCTGATTGCAAACAGATTTCAACATCTCTTCACTGCTCCTGCATGCCGCAGTGACCCACATTCTCCTTCCTTTGGAGTAAACACGGTCACCGCCTCAGCTGCATCCGAGATGGTTAACAAGCCTTCAGGGACACCATTCCCGTCTCTGCCCTCGGAAATAGGCCCTGCTCCTCACTGCAGAGGGAGGCTGTATGTGCCTCACATTTTCCACTGTGCCCGGGGTTTTACACTTCACTAGGAGATCCAAAGTGCGGCTGAAGGCACAAAGAAATCAAGTTTTGCTAGTCTCTGCCACAGTGATAGTTTGCTAGGCTAAAGGTAGGAGGCTGTCACTCTGGCCATGTCCTCTCTCAAAGGAAAGACTGGGATAGAGTGGACGCGAAAGAACCAAATGACTTTCATGTTCCTGAAAAGCACCATGATTCCATGGCTGTGAAAAAACTTTGGATTCCAGGTCACTCAGGGACTCCCTAGGTAATTTCCAGTCCTAGTCAACCACCAAGTTCTGGTCACACTTCTTTCAAATTCATTCACTCTGAGCCAGTTTTGTGGTGCAGCAGGTTAAGCCACCCCCTGTGATGCTGGCATCCCATAGGAGCACTGGTTCCAGTCCTGGCTGTTCAGCTTCTGATCCAGCTCCCTGCTAATGTGCCTGGCAAGGCAGGGGAAGACGGCCCAAGTGTTTGGGTCCCTGCACCCATGTGAGAGACCTGGATGGAGTTCCAGGATTCTGGCTTTGGCCTGGCCCAGACCTGGGGAGTGAACCAGCGGTTGGAATCTCTCTCTCTGTAACTCTGCCTTTCAAATACAATGAATATTTGTAAAAACATTCAGTCACTTTAGCCTTCCACTCTTACTACTTCAGTTCCCAAGACTTTAACAAGTCATGCCTAGATAGCTTCTTCCTAACTGATTTTCTCATCTCTTCTCACTATCATCAATTCTGAAAGGATACGTCTTGGAATACAATTGAAATGATCAGCACAATTCCTGAATGCTAAGGGCTGAACCCCCGATGAGTGTCACACAAACCCATCGCACGGTCTTTCTTAAGTGTGTGTGATGGCGGGTATGCTCCTCACAACCACGGGGAAACCAAGGCTCAGGGTTGCGTTTCTCAAGACCCAACAGCTGGCAAGTGATGGAGCCAAGATCCAAACCTGAATCCCGGTCCTCAGCCTTAGTGCTGCAGTCTCAGCCAGACAATGGTTGCGACATCCTCACAGTCCCCAGCATCCACAAGTAGGCGAAACTTCAGCTCATTTTTGAGTTTTGGTGACGACAACCCCCTTCCTCTGACTTTCCACAACAGCCACAATTCAGCAGTGAATCCCTCTAAGGACTACTCTTCGCTAAGTTTTACCTCAACCAGTCTCCTCAGTAAGAGTAGGATTTCTACCTTATCTAAGCGGAGCTGTGCGTCCTGCGAGTCCAGGGGCCTGCGACCGACAGCTGCCATGCATCACTGATGGTCACTGCACGCCAGGCCCTGACCTGAGGCTCTCACAGAAGCCTAGTTCTCATAACCCCCTACAAAGTGGGCACTGTCACCCTGTTCTGCGTAGTAGGAAAGTCTAGGTGCTGAGAGCTTTGAAAAAGCTGCCCGATGACAAACAGCTGGTAAGCGAAGGCACCAGGCTCCACACCACTGAGGACAAAAGTGCATCGGGAAAGGAGGGTGGCATGAGGACGACCTTTCCTGTCAACAGCCAGCAGAACAAACCCAGCACGGAACAACACAGCTTCATTCTGGAAACTCTGACTGGAGCATCCCACAGTGTAAGCAACCTTCGAAAACACACAAAAAGGTCACATCTGCTTGGTTATGAGCCAACCTACAGTATCTTAAGGGCTGAGAGTGTGAAGTGCCAATGGTGACAAACTGCGGTACAACATTTCTCTTTGAGGACAGAATGTGGTCCTCATTTATTCCCCCAGCCCTGCCTCCACCTGTTGAGTGCCATGGTGACTGTGGCTCCCTGCTGCATCTCCTGAGAAGCTGCCACTGCCGCCTCCGCCAAGGACGCCACTGCCTGGGTGGCCTCTGATGCTTGCGTTGTCTGGATGGTCATCTCACCTCCCTGCAACGTGGCCCAATTCTGTTCCACCTGAGGCAGAAAGGACAAGATGGTAATAAAAAAAAAAAAAGCCTCAAAAAGACTGTAATTTTAAAAGGTAATTTTTCTAAAAGTTACTGTTTTTAGCCAAATACATATATACTTTTACAGTTTTATTTATTCTTATTTTTCATTTATTTGAAAGGCAGAGCAATAAGGAGGGAGGGAAGAGAAAGAATCATCTAACATCTGGTCCATTCCCCCAGTGCCTACAAAGTGTGGGCTGGGTCAAGCTGGAGCCCAGAGCTAGGAAATCACCAGGTGTCCCATGTGAATGGTGGGACCCCCAACTTGTGCTGCTCCTGCTGCAGGGTCACCTAGAGTGCCTGCAGGAACCTGGTCAGGATTTGGAGTCAGATGTCGAACCCAGTCACTCAGATGTGGGACACAGACACGGCAGCCACCAGGCCAAATGCCCGCCCCTGTTTTCTTTTTAGTGGGGCAGGTTTTATGAGAAAATCAAACAAAAATCCAAAACAAAGGAACGCACTATCTGGTGACAGAATAGATGAGAATCCAATTGTGCCACACCCAGCACAGCGTCACTCCAGCTCGGCACTGTTAAGTCTTTGGGCCGGACAGTTCCTCGTGGTGGAAGCTGTTCGGTGCACTGCAGGATGCTTAGCATCCCTGGCTTCTACCTACTGGACGCCAGCCGTACGCTCTCCAGTTCTGACAGCCCACTCGTCTCCGGGTGGCAGTCGTGGCGCAGTGGGTAATGTGCCTGGGAAGGCAGTGGATAATGGCCCAAGTACTTGGGTCCCTGACACTCATATAGGAGACCTGGATGCAGTTCTGGGCTCCTGGCTTGATGCTGGCCCAGATCTAGCAGTTGTAGCCATTTAAGGAGTGAACCAGAAGATGGAAGCTATTTCTCTCTGCCTTTTAAATAAATAAAAATTTAAAAATCATTAAACAAAAAAAGATGGCAAATGAGGAGCCAGCTCAGCGCAGTATTCTCTCCTGCACCTGGTCTCGGGGTGTTCTCTGTGCTGCTCTGGCCTCGGCGCTGAGGCTCAGCGAATGCCGGCCTGTGCCCGTCAGCCATGTGCCACGAGCTCTGCAGAGGGCAGACACCTACAGCGTCTCCTGCTCTGCTTCCAGTCCCATCCTCAGGTTGCGACACGCTTCTCGATGTTTACCAAAAGCCCCCCAGAGAAAGGGACATTCCTGTGAGCTCCTTTAGTATTTGCCCTGAGTTCTCCTGGACAGGGAGTGGAGACAGTAAGCCCCCAGGGCGCCTCACTAGAGTCAGAGGTATTCTAGAGCTGCAAAGTCACCCACGCAGGAGCTCAAAACACTCTTCCCAAGCTATGAACGCTTTGATCGCATTTTTGCAATCAGCACCGCTGCCAACAATGCCAGTTTCCATGGCGAGCTATGCTGTCCATTCCCTGGAGGCCGGTGGTTCCACTCCTAACTCCTGTTGAAGCTGTGCCGCACTGTCGCCTACTGCCATTGGACAGTCTTCCCTTTTCCTGACCGGCCCTCTGCTTGAGCTCGTCTTGCATCGGTTCACACCTGAGCTTGGTGCAGGGTGGCTCTCTCTAGGCCTCACACTCCAGTAGACATATCTCTCTCACACACACACGCATGTGTAGTGAAACTACTAGGATGTTGCCGTAAACAGCATAATTTAAGGAAGTTAATTTATATGGCACAAAAGATCAATGGGAAAGGCAGTAGAGGGTAGGACAGAGTAAGAGATTTCTAATCAGAAACATGACAGGTAACACGTAAATCAGTTCAGGTGCTAATATCTCCTCGCAGGCTTCCTATTCTGCAGTCTCAATCTTTGTTACGCTCGTGTAGTAGCCAGCGAGGGTTACCCATGTATGTCATGACACAAAGAAACAGCCACAAGCTTTAGAGGGGCAGATACTCAGAGGATGTCTCATTACCTTCTAGGCACAGTCCTCAGACTCCTTAGAATGATGATCTTCAAAACATGGCTTCCTTTATTAGTGAGCCACGGGAGCTTCTCCATGCTTTCACAACTCAGCGCATCACACAGGCTGCTCTCCCTCCCACCCTTCCATCTTTGCTTTGCCAATCACTGCTCCAGTCTGACCTAAATGCTTCTCCTATGGGAATGTTTCCTGAGACAACTCCAATGTCGTACAGTCCCAGGTTAGGAACTTCCCTCTTCTGTGTTCTACATCACCCTGGGCTTGCTCCCAGCAGACCCGCATCCCACTGCAATCTTCCCGACACCCCCTCCGGCTCCCTGGGCGTTCCTCAGGGGCAAGGGCCGTCTCTCTCACCCTGTGTCTACAATGCCGAGGACAGTACTCCCAAAGTGGGTATCGAGTGGATGGATGGAGAACAAATACCTTTCTCTATATCTTCCAAACCAGTTATTCAATTTACTCACATCTCACATAAATTCACATTCATAAAAAACCTAAAAAGCACTACAATTTAAAAACTGTTACATGTATTGGTAGTTCATTTTAAAATCATGTATCTAGTGGTTTTATATTTTCTTCTTCTTCTTCTAACAAAATCACATACAACAGGGCCAGCGCTGTAACACAGTAGGTAAAGCCGCCTCCTGCAGCTCCACACCCACGTGGGAACTGGTTTGTGTCTCTGCTGCTCTGTTTCCAATCCAGCTCCCTGTTAATGGCCTTGGGACAGCAGCAGAGGATGCCCAAGTGCCTGGGCCCCTGTCACCCACGGGGGAGATCCAGATGAAGCTCCTGGCTCCTGGCCCAGCCCAAGCTGTTGTGGTCATCTCGGGAGTGAACCCGTGGATGGAGGATCTCTGTGGTGTCTCCCTTTCTGTAACTCTGACTTCCCAATAAATAAATAAATAAATCTTTAATAAAATAAAATAAAATCATATATACCATTATCATCAGACTTCTAATTGAACTCTGACACCTAGTGCAACAAATATTACCAATACTGGGGCTGGTGCTGTGGCACAGTACATTAAGCCTCTACCTGTGGTGCTGGCATCCCGTATATGCACTGGGTTGAATCTGGGCTGCTCTACTTCTGATCCAGCTCCCTATTAATGGCCTAGGAAAGCAGTAGAAGATGGCCCAAGTGCTTGAGCTCCTGCACCCATGTGACAGACCTGGAAGAGGCTCTGGTTCCCAGCTTTGGATCAGACCAGTTCCGGTCATTGTGGCCATTTGGGAAGTGAATCAGTGGATGGAAGACCTCTCTCTATTTCTGCCTCTGCTGTAACACCGCTTCTCAAATAAATAAATACATCTTTTAAAAAAAGTGTTAAATAAAATCCACAAATGTCACCAATACTAACTGGTGGTCTTATCACACAATAAAATCAATTGTCTTTTTTAAGATTTTTAAAAATTTATTTGAAGGGCAGAGTTACACACACACACACACAGAGAGAGAGAGAGAGAGAGAGAGAGGTCTTCCATCTGTCGGTTCACTCCACAAATGGCCAGGGCTGGGACAGGACAAAGCCCGAAGCCAGGAACTTCATCCAGGTCTCCCACGTGGGTGCAGGGGTGGCCCAAGTATTTGGTCCATTGTCTGCTGCTTTTCCAGGCACATTAGCAAAGAGCTGAACTGGAAGTGGAGTAGCCAGGACTTGAATTGGTACCCATATGGGATGCCATCATTGCTGGTGGCAACTTAACCCATTACACCACAATGCCGCCCCCTCAAATAAATTTTCAAACCTACTTGCATTTTTAAGTATGACATGAAAAATTAGAATCATATATTTAAAAGTCAACATATCTTTCTTTTATGCTAATATTCCTTATCCAATGACAACTATCTATGTAACTTAATCTGTGTCCCTAATTTTTTAAAATTACTTTTTAAAAAACATTTATTTGAAAGACAAGGAGGGACATACAGAGACGGATGTCCCATCTGCTGCTTCACTCTCCAAATGCCAGTAACAGGCACCACTGGACTAGGCTGAAGCCAGGAGTATGGAATTCCCTCTGGGTCTCCCACGTGGGTGGAAGGGACCCAATTTTCACTTGAGCCACTACCTGCCCCCCCACCATGAGTGCACATTATAATCAGGAATGGCCCTGGGACTCAAACTCAGGCACTCCAAAATGGGATGCAGGCATTCCAACCAGCCTCTTAACAGCTGTGCCAAACCCTGCCCCTAATTAATTTTAAACTACTGAAGACTAGAGTTTGTACTGTGTACACCCAGCACACTAGGCCCCCAAATGGCCCTTCTGGTGAATATAACTTGATGCAACTGGATTTTGAAGGTAATGTGGTCAAACAGTAAAAGCTCTCATTAGTGAGGCTGGGATTTAAAAAAAATGACTTTACCACTTCTAAAAGTATAGGTATCATTTATTTTTTGCCAAACACCGTCTACTCCTTAGGAGAAAAGTGTAAGGAAGGAAGCCGTTTCTACGGAGCCACCAGACAGTGTCTCATTGGCACTGACGTGGTCTTAGCTACTTCAAGTTGGTGAGACACTTGACTAGCTACAGTTGTTAGTTCAAAACTAAGACACTAACAACTATGCCAGTCTCCAAGAGAATAAGAAGGCAAATGGAAACATACAATCTACAACATGTTATCCCTTTCTGAAATAACCTGTTTCCTCTCTACATATCATTTTGATTTCACTGTAAGTGTGGGAAGTTAGAATATTTTTTTCGTCTGACTGAATATGGGTATTTTTCAAAATACTACATATTTATATGTGTCACCTACTTCCACAACAGATAACTTAACAGCTCATGTGCTGGAAAAGCTACAGATGAGTGACTGACACGCTTTTCACCCTTTGTGTTTTCTATGAATGTCTGAATACACTGATTACCTCTAAGATGTGAAGCTATCCAGTAAAATGTGTTTCAATGAATGAGAATTCATTTCCAGATTAAGTGCTGACCAAACACAAGCTGCTCTCTTTAAACAGTATTGTGCCTGCAAGCATTCAGCGGGCAATATGGCTGATCCCTTGGACCATACCCTAAATGAACAGATCTCACAGAAGAACCCACCACTGTCTTCCACACTTCAAGGAGTGTCCTCTAGTGTTAGGTGTTTGGGGAATGTCAGATTTTCCCCCCGCTCATCCCTACCCCTTTATGATGTTTAGACGCTTAGAAAGTTAAGACTCCTGCTGACTTTCGCCTTTCTACACTGAAAACCCAAGCGTGAACTCCTGCCCCCAAGCTTGCCAGGTCCAGGACTGGAACCACTCTCCTGTGAAGGTGCAGCTCCTGCACCACACAGCGAACAAAGAGCCTGCAGCCAGCAGGGCTCAATCCACGCCAGCTGGCCGAGGAGCCTGGCTGTGCACCCTCTCCCTCTGATGACACATGGGACCCTGTCAGTTCTCCCTGTCCAGGGTGGGAAGGTGTCGGGTGGTGGTGGTGGTGGTGGTGGTGGTGGTGCACAATGAAACTGATGTACTGGTGTCTGCATAGAAACGCATCATGGTTTTGAACAGGTAAGAAAAGGCTTTCAGCTTTACGTTGTTCTCTGACATCTGCTGGTTGTCTTCCAAACATGAGGAGACAACACACTAGAATCTTTATAGGAAAGCCCATGAAACCCTTCCCTTCACTTCTTGAATCTTAACCGAAGGCTCAGAGCTCAGAACCAGAGAATGATTTTCTAAACACACTACCCAGCTTCAACACCACTCTGTGACTTGGGGCAAATCAACCGAACTCAGTCTCAATTTTCTCATCTATCAAAGCGAAAAAAAAAGAGAACCAATACTTGAGTGCTAGCTCACCAATCACTCAATAAAGGTTAGCTACCTTTAGGTTCATGTTTCATATTTACCCGTCTTGGTAGTCAACGATTCTCAAGCGAAATTTTTTCAAAGGAATGTTTAAAATATAATGAATAGGGCCTGCATTGTGGCTCAGTGGGTTAAGCATCCAATATGGGTGCCTGTTCAAGTCCCGGCTGCTCCACTTTTGATACAGCTCCCTGCTAATGTGCCTGGGAAAGCAGTGGAAGGTGGTCCCAGTGCTTGGGCCAATGCACCCATATGGAAGATCCAGATGAAGCTCCTGGCTCCAGCCTGTCCCAGCACCAGCTGTTGCAGCCTTTTGGAGAGTAAACCAATGGATGGAAGACCTCTTTCTCTCTCTCTCTCTCTCTCTCTATCTGGCTCTCCCTCTCTTTGTAATTCTGACTTTCAAATAAATAAATCTTTAAAAAATATAATAAATCACGTAACTAATTCATGAATATAGTTATACTTTCAAAGAATGCTTCCCTTAGTCAGTTCCCAATTTAATGAGGCAATTATTTGTCATAAAGCCCAAGGGTGAAATTCTTTAGGATTCAAAGCACAAAAATATCAAAGCGATAATCCCTTTTTAATGTATATTGTACAAAATGCTATGTACGATGTAAAATTGAAAGTTCCTAACAGTTGGATTTGAGTCATAGTGATCCATGAATTTCAACTGTTATTAACACATAGCATTAATATACTTTCCAGGGGCTAGTGCTGTGGTGTAGTGGGTTAAGCCTATATTGGCGCTGGTTCAAGTTCTGGCTGAACCACTTCAAATCCAGCTCCATGCTAATGTGCCTGGGAAAGCAGTGTAAGATGGACCCAGTGCTTGGGCCCCTGCACCCACATGGGAGATGCGGAGGAAGTTCCTGGTTCCTGGCTTTGGAATCCATCCAGCTTTGGCCATTGTGGCCATTTGGGGAGTGAACCAGCGGATGCAAGTTCTCCCTCTCTCTGCCTCTCAAATAAATAAAGAAATAAATCTTTTTTTTTTTTTTTAAAGGTACTTCCCATACTTGTCATGGTCTGAGGTTTAAATAGAATGCTATAGACGTACAGGCATTTTTCATCTTCTGGGTCCTCATTTCTCCCTCATCTATACATTCAGGTATTTAAGAAGATGAAGAGATTGGGGGAAAAGGTGGCTGCACCAGCATCGTGGCACAGTAGGTTAAGCTGCCACCTGTAACACCAGCACCCCATGCTGGAGCACCAGTTCAAGTCCCGGCTGTTCTACTTCTGATCCAGTTCCCTGCTCATGTGCCTGGGAAGGCGAGAGAAGATGGCTCAAGTGCTTGGGCCCCTGGACGCATATGGGAGGCCTGGATGGAGTTCCTGGCTCTCGGTTTCAGCTTGGCTCATCCCCAGCTGTTATTTGTATTTGGGGGGTGAACCAGCAGATCGCAGTGTGTTCTCCCTCCCTCCCTCCCTCCCTCCTCCCCTCCCTCCCTCCCTGTCAAATAAAGACAGACGACAATGCAGACAGAATCCTCTTTCTTACCTCTCCATCAGCCACAGCAGAATAATTCACTTGGGCAACTGTGACTGTGGTTGGCAGTTCTGAAGCATCAGCCAATGTGGCTACTGTTGCCCCTGTACCAACCTAAAGAATAACAGGAAAAGTGGAAAGTGTCAGTGGGATGTTCCCGGGCCCCTCCTTTCCTCAGAAGCCCATGTTCCTGTAATCCCAAATGTGGCCCAGGGAACAAGTGGTATGACAGTACTGGGGATGATTCTGTGAGTTTCAGAATTTTACTTCAACCAATAAAACGCATTTCACCATCAACTTCCAGTGCCAGTCAGCCCCAATCTTAACACGAGAGGTGCCTGTCAACCAGGCATACTTTACCTCCAAAGACAGCATCAGGAGGGACATTCTCGGGCCACTGACAGTGAAACAGGATTATGGAAGCCAAGTTAAATTTTTTTTTTTTTGAAATATCTAAGAAAACCATTCGCAGCTCTGGATTAAGAAAAATGCAAACAATTTAAAATATTCTTCAGAAATTGCTTTCCAGGGAGAAGATTTAGGGGAGCTGTAGGAAATTTATACAAGAGTTTGCACAAAGAGGGGCCACAATGTGGCACAGTGAGTTAAGCTACCATCTATGACACTGGCATCCCATATGAGCACCGGTTCAAGTCCCAGCTGCTCTGCTTCCTATCCGACTCCCTGTTAATGCACCTGGGAAAGCAGCAGTAACTACCGCCAAGTACTTGGGTCCCTGCCACCCTTGTGCGAGACCTGGATGGAGACCCTGGTTCCTGGCTTTGGCCTGGCTCAGCCCTGACCATTGCAGCCATTTGCGGAGTGAATCAATAGATGGGAGACTCTCTGTAATTTTTTTCAAATAAAATAAAACAAGATAAATCTTCTAAAAGAAAGATAGAGTCCAAAGAAAACTTCCTTGTGTGTGGTGAGGGGCCCATGATGCATCTTAGAAAATACAGTCCAACTACCACCAGAACACTCACCTGAATGAGAGAGACAGTGCCGTCGGGGTTACTGAAGGTCTGGACTACAGTCTGTGATGGTACAAGATGGGCTATGCTATGTGTGGTTGTGGCCTGTGTTTGTGTTTGCTGATCTTCAAAAGCGTACAAAAGATCCTCCCGCCCATGCTGTTTGTAACAGTTTTTAACTATGGTCCGTAGTGCCTGGGTCCAGGAAACCTGTTACCAAAAGACCGGAAACAGCACATTAAGCACAGAGAGACGCGACTGTAGCCCCACTAGGGAACAAGCAGTTGCTCACTTATCAAACCAAACCCTGTGTAGAGTAAACTCCTAGGATCATTTCCTACAGATTGATTCTGGCAAAAAGAAACTGAGCACCAGGCACCAAGGAAGGTTTTCTACACTATTCCCACCTGAGGTCAAACTCTGAAACATCTCACAAAAGATCACTGTGGCCAACAAGTGTACATTAAGATTCTTGGAAAACTTCCAGCACTGATAAACAAACATGCAGAAGACACCTCTCTGATTCCATACGTATACTTTTATCAACACTATTTATGAGAAACAAGGACGTTTCCAAGTCTTCAAAGTGATTAATGTTGTTGCTTCAGGTTTCTGTCACTAAGTTTTCCTGGTGATAGAGTGATGACTGGAAAAGACTGTAACTCAGCAGCAAACGTCTTGGAGGGGCAGGTCTTTCTACTGCACAACTGTTTTTACTTTTCAGCACAAGAAGTAGAAACGCTGGCAATTGAGGCATTGGATTCAGCACAGAGAAGCAACAGGCTGCTCGGGCCAGGGGAAGCCTTACCCTCTGCTTCTGCTCTTCGGTGCGGACGTCACTCCGGACATTCGCCCACGGGATGTCTTCAGGCCACCAGATGGGCTTGCAGCTCTCTTTCCCCCAGCCTGGTTTCCCACGGCCTGTGGAGTACTTGAGCATCTCTGGAATAAACGCCCGGAGCTGTGCCTAGAAGGGGAGTGAAGACATCGGTGCTCACGAAAGACATCTGGGATGTTCATGTTCCTATCAGCTTCAATAGAGTGTCCTCCTGGATGTTGATGAGTGACCATTTCCCGTAACTTACCACAGGTCCACGGGCAATTGAAAAGCACATAGATGTTGGTAAAGCACGCTTGCAGTTGTATTTTGTGGGTTTGCTACTTTAAGAGTGAGAGTATCTGCCCTGACATCTGATTTCTGTTCCAAAGACATGACTGGGCCTAGGCATTGTTTTCCTTCTATAGTTTCCAACAATGGAATTAGATAAGAGAGAAATTAGAAGAAGAACAGGTAAAATCAAATCAACACCATTTGTAGATAAAATGGCTGTTGTCTAGAAGATTCCAGAGAATCATATGGAAAACTTCTACAACAGTAAGATGGTTGATTACAAAAATATATTCAAATTAGCAGGCTTTCAACTTAATAAAAAGAGAAAACAAGGTCAGCGCTATGGCGTAGAGGGTAAGGCTGCCGCCTACAGGGCCGGCATCCCATAGGAGCATCAGTTCAAGTCCTGGAAAGCAGTAGAAAATGGCCCAACTCCTTGGGCCCCTGCACCCATGTGCAAGACCCGGAAGAAGCTCCTGGCTCCGGATTGGGGCAGCTCTGGCCGTTGTGGCCAATTGGGAAGTGAACCAGCGAATGAAAGACCCCCCCACACACACACACACCCTCCTTTCTCTGTGTAACTCTTTCAAATAAATAAATGAATCTTTAAAAAAAAAAAAAAAGCTTTAAAAAATCTTTTAGAAAAAGGGAAAACAACTTGAAAACTCTAACAGAAAGTTTGTGGCAAACAAGGACACTGTCCATGAGTCTGACACAGGGGCGCAGTGAAGCGTGTGTGACTTGAATACGTCACAGCCTTCATTCAGATTTCTTCTACATACCAAATCCAGGCCAAATGGGTTTGAGACCACAAAGAAAACTGGCATTCTTTATTTCCTGGCACTGAAACCCCACGCAGTGTGTGTGTGGGATACTCTGTATTTGTCATCACTGACAGTGATGAAGCTAAAACCCGCAGCTCCTCCCCAGACTACTGCTTCCCTTTGCACCCTGATGGCCTCCAGCACCCCAGAGGCAAGTGGCGTCCAAGGACACATCCATCCTGCCTCAGCTTAAAACCCAAAACAGAGGGTGTTTTTAGCAACGAGTCAAGCTCAGGAATGTGGGCTTGTAGCTAGTTACAAAGCAACAAGAGAAACAGGAATGAGAACACTGAAGTATGAACAAGGAATGAACAGCGTCACACTTTAACACTGAAGATCCCTCACCAGATACTTATTTTTCTTATTATAATCAATACAAAATATTATTTTACTAAGAGATGATACAAAATGCTTCATCATAGGGAACCATGAACCCAGTCCAGATAACAGGGTTGACCCCAGTTGCACTGGTCCCCCTCCCGCCAGCCTCCTGCCCACAGGCTATGATGTAACACACTCCATGTATTTGGCTCTGCAGCATGCAGCAGCAGGCTAAGAGAACGCATCCATCTGCAAACCCATGCTATCAGCTGGCTCATGAGGTCATTCCTTCAGCTATTTTAAGAAAGTGCATCTCAAAGTCATCGTCTCCTTCATCCTGATTTCTTGGGAGTACGTCATTTTCTAGCCTCAGATACACAGAGCAGAAAAGAAATTAATCCTCACACACAATATTTTTAATTTATTCATATTAAAAATAGCTTTCTCAGATATGCAAATAAATAGACACCACAAACTTACCAATTCCCCTTTATTCTAATCCCCAAATCCAAACAGGAGGGTGCTTTACTACCGCACGTAGGAGAGTGGAGAAAATGAGATGAGGCGGCTAAGGAACGCTCATTTAACAGAGAACTAAAGGACTCACCGTGGACGTCGGGCTGACAGGATCTGCTCAGATCCTTCTAGAACCCTGAAGATTCTCTAACTCAAATGACTGCTCTACTGCTTCTACAACTTTTTATTTTTTGTGATCAGGATGCAAGACCTTGATCATTTTTAAAATTAATTTTAAAAACATTTTATTTGTATGTGAGGGAGAGGGAAAGAAGAAAAGGAGAGGGTGGGAGGGTGAGAGATGGGGAGGGAGACCACGCCTGAGAGCAAGCCTTCCTACTGGCTGTTTCTCTCTCCACGTGTCGACAGCGGAAGCTGGGAACCCACTCTCCCATAAGGGTAGTAGGAGCCTCATCACTGAGTTATCCCTTCCTCCTAGGACCTGCGGATGGAATTCAGGCTCTCTGGAGGGGGAGGGGCACAAGTGTCTTAACCGCTAAGCTCAGCGCCAGCCTCTCCTCCACTTGTGCTCCCTCATCCTATTTGCACGAACAGTTCCTGTGCTCTCAGTTCTGGGTTATTTTGGCCCTTGGCCATGGACAGCTTCCATCAGTCTTGCTCTGGCTATCCCCCACCAGGCTTTCCGCTCAGTTCAGGAGACTCCCTGGTAACTTGGGAGTGGACACAGCATCAGCCTCCTCTTACCCCTGTCCCCAGCCACTGTCTCCTCAGCATCTGAAATTCACCCCCCGCCCCCCCGCCTCCTCCAGCTGCCCAGTCTCACTGCCGGCCCAGTGCCTTCTTCCCGCAAGCCCGTGTCCCTCCTCCAGCTGCACTCACCCTGCCGTTCTGGACAAAGGCATCCTTCAGCCTCGTGTCCAACTCCAAGTTCTCTCTTGCTCTGGAGTCAACGCTGGCTGTGAACTCCAGCCTTTTCTCATCTAAAACACTGTTTTGGGCGGCCATTAGCAGTCATGGCCCTGCCGATGACCCCGGGCAGCAGTGGGTCTCTTCAGTAGAACTTGGGACTGGGAGATTCAGAATCAAATCTCGTCTCCCTCCCCTTCCTGGTTACAAATCACTTGAAATTTTTAAGTTAGTGGAACTTTTTGCTTGAGTGAGTTTTTTTGATCTTCGGCTACATCTTTTGAATAACCTATTTTCCGTTTTTTTTTTTTTTTTCTTTTTTTTTTTTCACAGGCAGAGTGGATAGTGAGAGAGAGAGAGACAGAGAGAAAGGTCTTCCTTTGCCGTTGGTTCACCCTCCAATGGCCGCCGCTGCAGCCGGCGCACCGCGCTGATCCTGGCAGGAGCCAGGAGCCAGGTGCTTTTCCTGGTCTCCCATGGGGTGCAGGGCCCAAGCACCTGGGCCATCCTCCACTGCACTCCCTGGCCATAGCAGAGAGCTGGCCTGGAAGAGGGGCAACCGGGACAGAATCCGGCGCCCCAACCGGGACTAGAACCCGGTGTGCCGGCGCCGCAAGGTGGAGGATTAGCCTATTGAGCCACGGCGCCGGCTCTGAATAACCTATTTTCAAATGCAACAGCGAGCAATGTTACCACCAAGACAGATTTTCTCTCCCTAAATCCCATGTATGCACTGGGAACCTCGACACTCCTGAGGCCAAGAAGTCTGACAGGGAGGCAATCTTCTCCAAGTTTGCCAAATTGGGGCCTGCTCTGTTCACGAGGGCTCTGCCTTTGTTCCGCATGTTGATGAGAGAAATGCCCGAGCTGCCCTGGCAGCAGAGGATGCAGAACAGTTGCTGGCCGGGTTTAGACATCCATCAGGCTGCAGAGCCAAAAGTGAACCGAGAAAAAGCGGGTGTGAAACCATGTGCAGCGGAGATGCGTGGGTGCGCACCAGAACAGCCTTGTCCGTCCCCTGTTCTCAGCATCTCTCCTGATGTAGATGGTGACTTTCAATGGGATTGTTATGGGGACAGGACGCGCAGTTACCCCGCACACGCTTCCCTCCTCCTCCTGTTGCCCAGCGGCAGCACCCTCTAAACGCCAGCGTGTATCAGGAAACACCTCAACAAGGGGAAGAGTGGACAGCGGGGGTCTTCTTCCAAGTCTGGGAAGTTGAAAGGAGATGACTTCAGGCCATTAAGAAGCAGCTGACCCAGCACGCACAGAAAGTGGATTCTTTGCTGGAAAGCCTGGAAACAACTGAAAGGACAGAGCAGACAAGCAGTGGAGACGGAGAACGATCCGTGTGAGGAGGAGCAGAGCAGCACGCGTCTGCCGTGAAGGTGGAGTCTGAGGGGTGCAGAGGACCCCTGCGGCGGTGAGGAGGAGGAAGAAGATGGGCTGACCCAGGATGATGCAGAAGACGAGGAAGGAGACGATGACAGAGACAACCCAATGGCGAGGAGGACTCTTAAGCACACGAGGGGTTTAGGCATCGTATCCATTATTTCTTTACCTAGGTGCTGTCTAACATCGAACTTTCACCAGGCGCTCTCCCCAGTATCTTCGGCACATGCTCACTGTTCGCTCATCCCTGTCCTTCCCACGTCCATTAATTCCTATTGCCCTGTGCCTAGACCAACTTTTTTTTAAAGATTTTATTTATGTGAAAGATAAGAATTATACAGAGAGAGAAGGAGAGAGAAAGGGAGGGAGGAAGAGAGAAAGGGAGGGAGAGAAGGAGGGAGAGAAGGAGGGAGGGAGAGGGAGAGAGGGGAAGGAGGGAGGAAGAGAGGGAGAGAGAAAGAGAGGGAGGGAAGGAGGGAGAAAAAGAGAGGGAGAGAGAGGTTCCACAGGTTCACTCCCCAAATGGACACAACGACTGACGCTGGCTGGGCCAGGCTGCAGCCAGGAGCTTCATCCGGGTCTCTCACATGGGTAGCAGGATGTCCTTGGCCCATCTTCTGCTGCTTTCCCGGGCGCATTAGCAGGGAGCTGTACTCTAAGTGGAGCAGCCGGAACTCAAATCGAAACCCATATGGTCTGCTGGTTTTGCAGATGGCAGCTTTACCCAGTATGCCACAACGTCAGCCCCAGTCCCATTTTCACTTCCTTTGATGATCCTAGTAGTTTTGTAATTTGCCCTGCGATTTTTCCTTTAAATTTTGATGCTTCTTCATAACTTAACAATAAAAAGATGTAAGTTTTTTTTTTAAAAAAAATAATAAAATAAAAAACTGTTACATGGCAAACACATAGGGTCAGTTGAGAGGATTAGAGACA